ATATGTGTGTGTGTGAGAGAGAGAGATTCTCTCTCTCTCTCTCTCTCTCTCTCTCTCTCTCTCTCTGTGTGTGTGTGTATGTGTGTGTGTGTGTGTGTGTGTGTAAAGCTGATTATATCAGCAATATTTCTGATTTCTCCCCCAAAGGTCCTGATGCTCCCATAGAATCAGTTTCATTGTTGGGAAGCAATTGGAAGCCATGGGAATGAAGAGGGAAGATTTTAATTATCCAACATCACTGCTGCCTGGGATAGTTAAAGGTTGGTATTTTCTGCATTTGAACATAGTAGATGAATTTAAGTTAGTTAATTCAGCCTCTGCGGCCATTCCCACTGCTGTCCCAATCTAAATTGGCTGGTTTTGCATCTCTACTTTCTAATGAAAGATGGTGAATTTAAACTCTGATGTAAACTCTGTGAGCCTCTGATGAACAGAAGCTGCCATTTACCTCCTTCCTCTGAATTTGTGACGTAGCATCATTCTAAGGGAGGACTTGTAGGGAAAATAGGAAAACTACAAGGAAGGAAGGAAGGAAGGAAGGAAGGAAGGAAGGAAGGAAGGAAGGAAGGAAGGAAGGAAGGAAGGAAGGAAGGATCATTTTGCCCAAGAAGCTAAAAAAAAGAAGACCCAAATTGCTAGACTTCACCCAACACCAAACCACACCCTATCAACGGGCCTATGAAAGTGTAAGAAAATGTTCTAACTGTCCTAGTTCTGTTTCTATGGCTGTAACACTGTAAACTATGGTGTCATTGCCAAAGTTAAACTATAACTTCATCCATAGCTGAAGGAAGGAACTTCTGATGTCATTAGAAGACAGGATTCCTAAAGTGCTGGAAGTGTTTGATGGCCACAGCAGGAGCTGAAGCAGATTGGCCCCTGTGTTCCTTATGAGGGATGAGGGGAAAGGGTTTACTTGTCTAGAAAAACCAGCAGACTAGTATACACTAAGCCCAGTTGCAGCCAAGAGTGAGACTCCAGACAGGTGCAATCATAGTCTGATTGAGGAAGGAGGGTATAATTAAAGGAAGAGACACAGGTAAAAAAAACAGCATCCAGCAGGAAAGGAAGGAGAAGGACACACACACAAATTTGGGGCAGTCTATGACTTAGACTATGAATTGTTCCTTATATTTCTATGTACCTCCCCCCCCCATTAATATATTTGAGGGAAATGCCTCCACAGCTGTTTGTCAATGGGAAGATTCCATACACAGACTGCAGCCAACTCAGGAACAGTGAGGCAAACATGGGCTGAGGCAATCGGACTGAAATTAGACTGCAGTGAAATTGGACTGAATCTTTGATTGAAACTTGATTCTTCACACATCTCTAAACAGAATGATCTCCTTTATTGATCATACAAATTTCCCAAAAGAAGATTGAAGCTCAAAAACAACAGGAACAATAATTTTGGACTCACTTCCCAGTTTCTGCATCAAATCCATAATAGTAGTCCCTGCATCGGTCACATCTTCTCCCAGCTATAGAAGGATCTTGGCAAACGCACTGGCCAGTGAGACTATTGCAGGATTCATCTACCGAACCAGTTGGGTGGCATAAACAGGGAGAGCAGCCATTGACACTATGAAGGGAAATGTAAAAACCTAAAAACAGGGGAAAGTGGTGTAAAAATATTGCATTCAGTCATAAATGTGTTGCAAACTGCAGTAGAAATACAGGAACAACAAGGGGAAATTTCTACAGTTACTGAGTAATATTTTTCCCAATGCATTATTATTAATATGACAAATGCCTCCTTTTAATCAGTCCTGCATTCACGTAATCTCTTCCAAATGTAAGGTATAATGGGATTAGCATCTTGGAATATGGAAACGGTGTCAAACATAATGTCAGTTTAGAAAGAATAGCATTATATCTATTTTGCTTGTGTGTTTTGTTTTTGCTGGAATATGGGGACCCAAACTTACCTGGGGCACCCTGATTGTTGGCAGAGCAGCATCCTCAGGCTGGCAGCAAGGTGAGAAGGTCTGGAGTTGGCATGGAAGATGACGGTGAGGGGATTCCCACTCCCCTTGGCTTTCTATTAACCAGTGGGGAAAGATTTCTCCTTGCCAGCCTTTCACTGGCTGGTGGGAAAACTTGAATTAGAATGTTGGCATGTGGACTGGAGGACAGCTGGCTACAACTGTTCACCTACCGAACATATAATAGAAACCAAGATGTTTCTTTCAAACGGGTCCAAGTGTGAACCCAACAGGATGGCAGTGTGCAGATGCGGTGTTTCCTTAAGGATGGTGCCCTGGTCTTGTGGCTGCAGCTAGCTAGCTGAGTGAGGAGTCCACAATTCATCTGAGGCCCAGATGCAAGGTCTTCCCTTGACCAGACCACACAGTCAGTGCTTGTGGGGGCTCCTGGTGCATAACAATGATACACCATTGACAATTTACCAGCTCATTGGCCAATGATACACCATTGACACTTTACCAGCTCATTGTAAGGTTGTGCTGGCATGGGCAGGCCACTAAACTCAGGATAATGCATCACACTCTTTTCAAATTGGAGCAGCCACTGAATTGGAGCAGCTATTGAGGTGGCTAGTTTGGGCATGCCTTCTGACCATGTAAAGCAAAGGCTTATAGGTATTTGAGGTGGCTAGTTTGGGCATGCCTTCTGGCTTACAGGTACTATGTCCTAGAGTCTATGACAACACCTTGACATTTCTACTCTCTCAGTTCTATCAGGTGTACCAGATATGGCTTGTTGGTCATGGCATTGTCCACTGGGTGGAGTGATGCATACTATCCAGTACCTGTGGAAGGCCTCACAGTTTAGGCAGTACAGTATGCATCACATGGCTGAGGTGGTGGGTATCTACTGGCTCCAGCTTAACCCACCTTTTTGGCAGGGGCTCTAGCAGCATGGACCTCCAGATCTTATTATTTTCCTAATGGGGAAAATGGCTTGCTGGCAATCAAGGGTCTGAACCTAGCCTTTTAAGGCTGATCCGGACATAATCCATAGTTGCCACCCCACCATTCAGATTATGTGGTCAGACCTCCTTGAGAGGCAGATATACCATAGCAAGGGTCCAGGAATCCATGGAAGACAACATCAAGAGGCAAAAGGTGGCCAGAGTGGTCAGTCAAATGGTGACATTATGAGATGGCAGCTGGATTCAGGACCAAATATTTCATTCAAATGGACATACCTTTTCTGGTCAGATAGATCGACATATCAGTTTGGGAGCGGGCAAGATACATGGTTAAGGCTTATAAACATGGCCAAAGCAGTATGGTTACAGCTGCAGTTCTCTGGCGGGAGCTGAATGATGCCCAGCTTTTGGGACATTGGGGTTGGATTCAGATGCAGCAAGCAGAAGCCTGCTTGCCCAGATTGTTATAAAATCCCTGTATGGATATCTGGGGCACTGCCATGGTATTGTCTAATTTGGGGGCCTGTTGGTACAGCCCTGCCCTCAGGTGGTGGCATAGGCCTGTGTGGTTTCTAGAAGACTACTAAATGGCTCAGTGGTTGGCATCAAGGGCATTTGGGTATCTCAGTCTCGATGCATTGGATCCAGTTTGTAACGCTAGCCAGGGATTGCTGCTGTGACCAATAAAGTTGTGGGCTTTTCTTCTCCAAAAGAGTAAAGTATGTAGGTGTAAGCAGTCCAAGGTCTGCTCAACACTAGGCCAACAAAACTGTAATTTCAGAACTGTGAAACATTTGCCAGAACTGACTCCTCTCCTGCATTCATTTCAGATCTGCTTCTGTTCTGCTGATGCTGGGCCTGGAAAATATCTCTCCTGTGTCCCAACCAACCCGTCCAGCATTCTAAAGTCTGCTTTGAAATAGGGATTCTGATACTAGGAGTGTATTCAAGTGAACATAAGTCTGTTTGTATATGTGAATATTGTGTGTGTGTGTGTGTGTGTGTGTGTGTGTGTGTGTGTGAGTGAGTGAGTATATGTATGGCTTTGCACTGCTCAGCTTTCAGTGGGGCTGTGCACAAGTGTGCACCTCTCAACACATGGGAGTGTCATCCTTTATGACTCAGTTCTCACAAGTTTCTGACTGCAATTTGGTATCTGTGGTGCCTTCCACTTCCCTGCATTTCTTCAGCATCTCCTGAGGTATGCCAATGTGCAGGGGAGGCTTTGGGGGAGAGGGGCACAGAGGACAAGCAGTAGTAGAAAATTCTGTTTGCAAAAGCATCCCGGTGCTTTTATTGCACTGGATTTTAACTCCACATCTGTATACCAGCAAACCCAGTGCAATGATGGAGAACATATTAGATCCTTTCACACATCAGAAATTCATTTTTCCTTGATAAAGCAACATAAATCCTTGCCATTTCTTTCCAAGGACAAAGCTATTTCAGATTTTTGGAGGAACATGTTAAATATTGTCAAGGAGGTGAGGTATGATTCAACAGCCCAATTTTGAAAAAAAAGATCAATGCATTTTAAGGACAAGTGAACTGTCAAGTGATTTATGTGATGTGTATATATGGTATGAAACAGCTGGAAAGGACAGGAGATACTGTCTCTAAATGATGTTCAAAATGATGGTGCACAATGACACAGTTGTTCAGTAAGGCATTTTCAGCTTTCTATTATGACCTGCCTGGAGTGCAGAAACTGTAATGCTCAAGTCCCAGAATCACAGCCATTTTGAGTTGGCCAACAAAACTGGGCATCCCATGCCATCCTCAAACCAAAAAAATCACATATAGTCTTTAAAAATTCTGAGGCCCAAAGTTTGGCAAGTTTGCAGGAATTTTGGACTTGTGGACAACTTGATGGCCAGATTCAACCAGTGAGTCATGTAATCAAGACATCTTTTTTTTTTTTTGGTTAAAATATTGCCTTGAAATGCCATCACTATATTTTATTATGTTATGTACCATCAAGACAAAACTGACGTTTTTGGGCAAATGTGATGAGCAAAACAGTATCCCCTTTATTCCCTTGAATAATATCAGTGTGTGTATGTGTGTGTGTGTGTGTATGTGTGTGTGTTCTGTGTTGTCGAGTTGGAACTGACTTTTAACAACCCTAATGGGGCTTTCAAGGTAGGTGAGATATTTAACATGTGATCTTACCAGTTCCACACCTCCAATGACTTTCCATGGCTGAGTGGGGATAAGAACCCAGGGTCGAATCCTGAGTCCTAAGCCACCACTCTATCCACTACACATACATTATAGTGTACTTGGGCACAAATGGCTTAACCTGTGTATCTTGTGTAAGTCTTATAACTCCATTTCCAATTACTAACTTCCAGTTGTAATGCACATACTTTTTGTCAGTTCCATATTTACTGAATATAAATGAACAAACAGCATGCTGGTTGAAACTTCTGCTTCCTTCTGCAGGGCCCTGAGAAAGGAGGAGAACAAGGAGGAGGCAAGCATCCACCGTCTCCTCACTGTGGAGCGAAGAAAGGAGCTGGAGGAAGCGAGCAAAGCAGCCCCTTCACTCCAGAGGACTTCAAGGTAGGAACCACCCGTCGCCACTGGAGAGCTGAGGCCGTGGGACCTGGATCTTTCAAAGCTGGGGCACAAAGCCCTGAAGCCAACCCAGCCCCAGCACCCTGGGGCGTTGGTGGCAATAGTGGAGCCCTAGAAAGGGCAGGCTGTTTTACCAACGCTGACGCTTATAAGTAACCAGAACAATTCTGGCGCAGCGAGCCTGGCCTTACATCTTTGTGGACCATCTTGGGAGGATTCTGGTGTCTTTGGGTGTGACGGGGGTGGTGGTCTCGTGGGGGATGTTTTTTTTTTCATATCTTTTATTCGCTCTTTCTTAAAGTTTTAACTTTTAAATTGCTTAATTTGATTTTTGCTTAATTTAAATGTGTATTTTTATGTTATGGTTTTGATGAATATTATTATTTATTATTGTTATTATTATTTATTATTGTTAACTTTTATTAATTTGTTAATTTTTTGGTCTTTTTTCTTTCTTTTCTTCCCTTTTGCTTGACGTGGAGTGGAAGGCTTACCCCCCCCAGCGGGGGTTCTCTGAACATCCGAGTGATTACGGGTAGAGGGAGATATGGCATTGGCACAGTTCCTACTCATTGCAGAAGAATGGTGAACAGATGTTTGAAGGCTGTTCACTATTCTGGCACTGTGACCACCTGTCAGACTCAAGGTAGTCAGATCAGCCATCCCTCTACTCTAAATTGGGTGTCATTGAATGCTAGATCTGTATCCAACAAGTCCCAGATTATTCAAGACCTTATTCTGGAGGAGGATGCAGATCTGGCATGCATAGCCAAAATTTGGATGGGCAGGGAGGGGGTATTTCCTTGACTCTTGCCTGTCCTCCTAGTTATGCAGTCCAACACCAGAGTAGACTGGAGGGTCGGGGTGAATAGCCATTGTTTATAGAAACACTCTAGAGGTTGTAAAGTGGTCGGCAGTGGCCACTCTGGGTCTTGAGGCCTTCCATGTGTTGATTGGGGCCAGGGATGGTATTGGGATCTTGCTGGGTTACAGCGTTCCCTGCGACCCAGCCATTTCCTTACTGGAGCTGGCAGACTCCATCTCTGCAGCACTGTTGGAGTCCCAGAGGCTTCTGGTCTTGGGTGATTTCAACATCCATGCAGAGTCAGTCTCTGCTCTGGCTCAGAAGTTCTTGGAAACCATGGCTTCCTTGGACATGTCCCAACATGGCCGCACCTATGTGGGCAGTTCCACGTTAGACCTGGTGTTCTCCACCAAGTGGAGTGAGTGTGGTCTGATAGTAACTGACCTTGTGTCAGTTCCCTTGTCATGGTCAGATCACTGCCTAATCAAATGCAACATCTCAGTGGCTCTCCTTCCCTGTGGGGAGCAAGGACCCATTTTAATGTTCTACCCTCGAAGGTTACTGAGTCCTATAGGATTCTAGGATTCCATGAGAGGGATTATGGCTGATCTGCCTAGCACTCCTATTGAGGCTCTGGTTGATGGCTGGCTTGCTGCTGCCACCATTGCTCCTAAATGCCCTCTCCAATGCAGAGCTCATCTATTGCCCTGGTTTAACCAGGAGCTGCGAGCTGTGAAGCAGAACAAGAGAAGGCTAGAGCGCATTTGGAGATGGAACCCGATGGAATATAATTGGAAAGCTGTCAAGATCACAAGTAACCATTACCTTACTAGGGCAAGAGCTGCCAATTGAGCTCCCTTCACTGTCTGGATAAGCGAAGCTTATAAACAGCAGGCAGAACTTTTCCATATAGTCTGCAATTTATCCAGTGTTGGTCACAGTGACTGACCTCCTACTAGCATCTCACCTGACCTATTTGCAGCATTTTAAAAATCTAAAGTGGAGGCCATCCACCAGGATCTTACCTCCCTATTTGAAAACAGTAGATCGACCGCCTTGCCCAATGAGATGTAATCATTTTCTACCTGTGATGTCAGATATGGTGGACAAAGTGCTTGATTGCTGTCGGGCCACTACCACCTCCCTTGACTCTTGCCTGGCCTGGCTAATCAAATCAGCCAGGCCTATAACAAATGAGTGGGCCCCCTGCAATAATTAATTGGTCTTTCCAGGAGAAACTCATTAGGCCATTAGGAAGAAACCAAGTTTGGCGGCGGATGACATTGGAAATTATAGGCCCATCGCCAATGTTTCCTTCCTTAGCAAAGTGGTAGAGAGGGTGGTGGCTGACCAGCTCCAGGCCCTTTTGGATGAAACCAATGCCCTGGATATGTTCCAGTCATGCCATGGCACGGAAATGGCATTAATCGCCCTGTTTGATCACCTGTTGAGGGAGGCTGACGGGGGGCTAAACATCTCTGTTGGTGTTCAGGGTGCTGTCCTCTGGTGAAACGTTAGGAAGAACAACCTTCAGAACACGGCCAAAGAGCCTGAAAAACCTACAACAACAATTAGATCCCGGCCGTGAAAGCCTTCGTGAATACATCTCTGTTGGTCCTCCTCAATATCTCAGCCGCCTTTGATACCGTCGACCACGGTATCCTTCTGGGGAGGCTCTCTGAGTTGGGAATTGGTGTTTCGGTGCTTGCCTGCCTCTGATCCTTCTTGGAGGACTGTCCTCAGAGAGTACAGCTTGGGGAGAGTGTACCTGCCCCATGGAGCTGTAATTGTGGGGTACTGCAGGGCTCGATTATCTCTTCAATGCGAGTTTAATATCTATGTGAGGCCTTTGGGTGGTGTCATTAGGGGATGTGGGGCTTCATGTCATCAGTTCGCTGATGACATCCAGCTCTACATCTCCTTTTTTTCCAACATCAGTGGATACCATTTCATCCCTTCAGCACTGCCTAAAGGCCATACTGCAATAGATGCAGGAGAATGAACTGAGGCTGAACCTGGACAAGACGGAGGTCCTGAGGGTGGGGAGCCCTGCCATCAATGGTTTGGGAAACTCTCTTTCGGGGAGGTGACTCTCACCATGAAGAATGAGGTTTGCAGTTTGGGGGTCCATCTGGATCCAGCGCTTACCATGAAAACCCAGGTAGTGTCAGTGGTCCGCTCCACCTATTTCCAGCTCAGGCGGATTGTTCAGCTGCATCCCTGTCTTGTTGGGGCACTCACCACTCTGGTCCATGTGCTTGTAGTCTCAAGATTAACTACTGTAATGCACTTTACGTGGGACTACCTTTGAGGTTGATGTGGAAGCTTCAAATGGTGCAGAACGCAGCGGCCAGACTTCTCACCAGGGTGAGAAAATATCAGCATATTTCCCCCACTCTGGCTGCCCTTCACTGGCTGCCCATTCATTTCTGCATTGATTTCAAAGTGTTAATGATGACATATAAAGCCCTAAACGATTTAGAACCTTGATATCTAGCGGACCGCCTCCTCCCACCTAGATCTACCAGAATCACTCATTCTAGCCTGGAAGGGTGACTGAGGGGCCTAACACTGAGGGAGGCCTGGAGAGAAAGGACAAGAAACTGGGCCTTCTTGGCAGTGGCCCCTCGTCTCTGGAACAGTCCGCCTGGAGAGATCTGCCTGGCTCCCTCACTGGGTGTTTTTAAGAGCAAACTAAAGACTTGGCTCTTTAGGCAGACTTTCCCTCCTGTCATCACCTAATGACTTCCCCATTTTGAATTATATTGTCACGGTTCTTCATTATATTGCTTTTGCTTTATGTTTTATTGTTAGCCACCCAGAGTAGACTTCGGTCTAGATGGGTGGGTTTAGATTAGATTAGGCATCTTTCAGTCTTGAGAGACTATGGTAATGTGCTTTATACGGAGGACTTGGAGAGTGTCCCATCTATCCGGCATGTGTTATAAATCAATCAAGAGCACGAAGCCTGGGTAAAATAATATGGAGGATAGGCTATTACCCAACCAGCAAATCCCCCCTCTCCATGTCACTGAAATAGTCCAATGGAAAGGCAAGAGCCAATACAACTGGTTCCAGTGACGTTGCAGGAGTTGCCAGAACGACACGAACTGTCTCCGGGACTCCAGCTCCGGATTTTATCTCGAGGTTAACTCCTGAAGCCTTTTCCATCAGTGGATATAGCCACAAAGCAGTGGAGGTTTGAAATTGGAGTTTTCTTTCTCCTAGATGGGCTACCTCCCAAGGCTGATGAGGCCCATCTACCCGGCATGTGTTATCAATCAATCAATCAATCAATCAGTCAGTCAGTCAGTCAGTCAGTCAGTCAGTCAGTTAAACAAACAAACAAACAAACAAATACTTTTGCTCCTGACTTTGTTCTCATTGTGGACAGAGTGATGGACTACACACACACACACACACACACAGAGAGAGAGAGAGAGAGAGAGAGAGAGAGAAAGAGAGAGATTATTCCAGGGACTAAAGGGGATGCTGTTTTGCTCATCACATTTGTCCAAATAAGTAAGAAGGTTATAAACTCTCTGCTCAGGCTTGCCATCCTTTAGAAGACGGTCATGGAGTCTTACTGGTTTTGTTACATTTACATTTATTTACACATACACAAGTTGAATATAGAGGGAGTCATTGACTAAATGCTCCACTAAGATCCACTGTTCTTGCACCAGATTTCTAGAGAGATTAGCAGCACGACAAATGTCGTTAGCTTACAAAGCCCCAAACCTCAGTGCTCCATGTCACTTTCTGTGTATCGCCGTATCTCCAACAACTACATTCTTTCTTCAAACAAAGACACCTAGATTATTCTGTCTTTTGCTAGAAAGAGTGATGGCCTGCCTCTTCTCTCATTAGGTTTTCCCATTCAATGCATTCCTCTAATAAGTGGCACTTGGTTAATTATTTCATTCCCTGGCAACATATCACCTGTTGCAATGTACTTAATGAAAAGTTGTGCCTGGGCAGCCAAATTTAACATTCTTCACATCCCTCTTATGAGCCTCTCATGCAATTTTTCATAACACTATATTGGGTTCTGTGATGTTTTAACTGTTTCTTGTGAGTGGACCTTTCCATCAGGATGAGTCAAAGTTTCCCATAATCAGACTTATCGAATCAAAAATATAGGTTCAGTAAGCACAGAATCAAAACATTATTCAGGAGTTATCACCTATGCAAAAATTTCGCTAAAAGAAGGAATGCTGTGGCCCTTCTCCCTTCATCATTCCTTCTATCATTCTCCTACACACGTAGGGTAACAACGGTGAGCCTCCACTATCATTTGTGGTTTTCCACATGTGCCGGAACCCTAGGAAATCAGCACAATAACTCACTTGGAGAGTTCCCAGGGATTGCAGAACATCTTCCGCTTTGGACTTCTTGCTCTTCACAAATAGGAGAACAAAACTGGGCAGAGGGGGCAGTCTAGAGCCTTGCCCTATTTCTGTAAGCTCTCTCTTTGTGTAGTAACATATAGCTAAGGCTGCCCAAAAAATCTGTTATGGAAATGACATTCTATGAAATGTAAGGAATGAGACATATAGTTCTTACAATAAACACACAGGAAGCTTATGAACTTATCTGCATACCTGGTTTACACTCATGACACCTCCTTCCCTGGTGGTGAGGCAGGCAAACGCATTGTCCGTTGATCTGGTCACAAACACTTCCTCGTAGTGTACCCAAGGGATCACAGCCACAAATCTCACAACCAAGAGGGTTTTGAGTGGTGAGATTGTACGAATGAGCCAAGCACTGATCGCACCGAAGACCTGTGACACCAGTTTTGCAATGACATTGTCCTGTTGATTTGTTGCACAGCAAGGAACTATTTAGAGTACCAGCCTTATTGCAGTTACATGAAAGGCACAATAAAGAATCATTCCACAGAACTCTGTAATGCCCATCTAAGCAGTCACCACATTGCCGTCGCCCAAAGTTAGGTCTGCAGATGCACTTTCCTGTTTTAGGATCACACACTGTGCCAGGAACAGTTCCTTCCACTGCACAGTCACAAGGCTTACAGCCGAAAGCATCCATGCCGTAAAAGCCATCAATGCAAGTATCACAGTTCAGTCCTTGGACATTTTCCTTGCATCTGCACTGACCAGTGGAAGGGTTGCAGAAATTATGCTCTGAACCATGAGTGTTACACTGGCAAGGCTCGCAGACATCTTTCTTGATTTCTTTGAGGAATTTGTATCCAAAGTTGCAGTGATCACATCTGAGACCTGAAGAGAGAAATGCTTGTTATTAAAAAATAAAGGAAGGGGAGGAGAGTTTCATCGAAAGCAAATCTGAAGACAATAAAATATCTAGACCTACCCCAGTACCAAAGCAACAACGCCTTACCTTCTCTCTGCAACTCAAACCACATCACAAATATAAGGACCCACAGAGAAGAACCTGAAGAGCAAACTATTTTAGTTGATTCAACTAACCTGTAGGGGAGGGATTGCCATACTCCTGGGACTTCCTGTCTGCCTACGGAGTTGTACTTGACCCCTGGGACTGGAAGTCCTAGAAGTACAAAAATCTCATCCCTACTACCTAGCCAAGCCATATGCTATAATAGATCAAAATCTAATTAGAATTGTCACATGCAACAGGACCTGGGGAAAATTTCCAGCCTACCCAGAAGACAGCTTTCAATCATACCCTAGCAATGAACAAAATAGATGGATATAATATGTGCATATCTGTTGGATGGATATAATATGTGTATACTTGCTTCCCCAGATAGTACACCAGATGAAGGGGTTGTACAGTCACTGAACACAGGTCTTCTGGGAAAGCCATTCAATGATAAATTCAGCTTTCCCAGAAGACCTGACTGTACATACCCTTTCATCTGGTGCACATGCTTGACAACCAAGAGCCCCCAAGTCTGCTGCCAGACAAAGTTCATGTCAAGATATCATTAATAATATTTACATGCCATTAAATTAATTCTGACTTCTCATGACCTTTTCCAGAGTTTTCCAGGGACAGAGTACTCAGACGTAGTTTACCACTCCCTTCTCCTGGGGCACTCTAAGAACTGACACAGGTTGACACAGAAAATGTCAAGGCTACACGGCTGTTTCTTCTCCTGGGATGCACAATGGGAAATCAAACTTCCAGTCTCTTGCTCTGCAGCCAAATAAATAACTCTATCTAGACACCAGAGAGACTGTTATTTATGTGCCTTCAAGCCTGAACCATCTCTAGATGCAAAAATGATGAAACTGAGGCTTTCCTGCTTTGGATATATCGTGAGAAGGCAAGATTCTCTGGAAAAGATAATAATGCTGGAAAAGGTTGAAAGCAGTAGGAAAAGAGGATGACCAAAATACAAGATGGACTGACACCCTAAAGGAACCACAGCACTGAGTTTAAAAGACCTGAGTAGAACTGTTGTGGACTGAACATTTTGGTCACCATAAGCCAGAGTTGCTAGCACATAACAACAACAACGGAGCTTTCAAGGTTAAGTGAGATATTTCAGGAGTGGTTTTACTAGTGAGCTTCCATGGCTAAGTAGCGATTCAAACCCTGGTCTCTAAGAGGGCTAGAATTATTCAAATGCAATCTAAGCACAGAAGTATAGAATAATGGAGTTGGAAGGAGCCTATAAGGTCATTGTTTTACTGCTGTAACTGTTAGGAAGCTTTTCCTGAAATTCAGGAATTATGTTCTATCCACTACACCACACTGGGTACATTCAGATATATCATCAATACATTTTAAGATATGTCAGCTTCCATGATGTTAGTAAGGACAGTACACTCCATATTCCAAGCTTTAAGGAATCTCAAATTATTCAAATGCAATCTAAGCACAGAAGTATAGAATAATGGAGTTGGAAGGAGCCTATAAGGTCATTGTTTTACTGCTGTAACTGTTAGGAAGCTTTTCCTGAAATTCAGGAATTATGTCCATCAACAACTTTGTTCCCACTACTAAAGAAGGTCCCAAATTGGCTGAGAATACACTCCGCAGACTACTTAATTTATAATTGATCTGGCTCTGGATTAAAATCAAGGAGCTCCTATATTTTATAGAAAGCATAATCCCAGCCAATTTTGTTTATTTAAATTTAGATCTTGATTGATTTCATGATACTCCTCAGTTTTTAAATTGCATAAATAGATTTTCTAAAAGGAGAAAACAAAAATGTATCCAGCATTTGTTCACAAAAACAAACAAACCCCCAAATAGTAAAAGAATGGATCATATACTTCTGCAATTATATATCCAGGATACAAAAAATTAGAGTGCTATAAATTATTTATTGACAACTTTAGTCCTAAAGTTCAGTACAGCAATGGTCATTAATGTATCTTCCTAAATACCAACAATACTTTGTTTCCAGATTTCAGTCTGAAATAACATTTTCTTTCTTTTTTAAATAAACAAATGCATTTAAATGTAAATTTACTAAGTCTGAAACCAAATCATTTTCTGTGTCAACCTGTGTCTCCTTTGAGAACAAAGTCATGGCTTTATAGTGCCCCTGGTATCTGTTATGAATTTTTTCTTTACTTTTATTTTTTATTCAGTGATTTTATCTACATTTTCGTTTATAAACTGTATGACCAAAAAAACAAAAACAAAAAAAACCAAAACCAAAGACAGAGGTACTACTTGAAAAATCCTACATCACAGTCTTGTATAGGTATATTAGATAACATTTCCACTATCCTACCATCACTAAACTCTAGCATACAGTAAACTAGAAATGAAAGCCGCAGGTTTTAAGTAAGTTTATTTTAAAAATTGCCTAAGAACACAAATATATGTAGTTTCCTGTATAGCAAAAGCAACCCTCAAAACAGCAGGAAATGCATTATAGATGGACAAAAAACTGGAGAACTCCAACAGAAGGCAAGTTCCTTTAGCAGTGATGAATGGCTCACCTAAGGCATATCATTTAATTTCAATAAGGAAAATAAAAAAGGACCACTATTGCCGCAAATTTTAAAAATAACTGTATTGTTAACAAGAATTATGACTCATTTTGAACTATTAAAATTGGTCTACATGGATTCATATCATATCAGTTTTAAAAATATGCGCAGTGCTTATTTGAATATGCCATACATATTCCTGACAGGTAATCTATTCCTAACGATACCGAGAAAGGCCTACAGGGCATCACATTCAATGTTAACAAGTACAGGGGAGTTAGCACGCTTGGCATTTAATTCACATTCTTCTCCCTTTTTTATTCTAGATGAATGACCTACTTTAATAAAATTATTGGTGCTAATGTATTTTACTGGTGATAGGATCATTAGTAAGATTTAACAGTTGTGCTAACTCTTAACAGCTCATGCTGCATAACATTGCAGCACTTAGTTACATTTTCTGTTATCAAGCTTGTTTAAACAGATGCAATGACAATAGACTCTAAGGTTACTTGTATGCCCACTTTGTTATGTGTTGTTGTTGTTTTTAAGGCAGCATGTATTTTAAATAGACATGCTAATCCTGCATGTGTAGTGTTTGAGTATAATTATTTTGTTAGGGTGTAGAAACTGGCATCTGAGCAATGATCATGGGGTTAGTTGAAAAGCACTTGTGTAAGTCGATGTTGAAACCATGTGATTCATTTCTTTAGCAGAAGCTCTGCTATATCATATGTTGAAGCAGGAGGTAAGGTAGATAGCCTTGCTGGTGATGGTAGCTGGCTTACTCTATACCTTCCTCAGAGAACCTTTCCTGGGGCCCGCACACAGTTGTTTTCAACATCTGGTGAATATCTTTTAAAAATATTCTTATGCAGATCATTGGCACTGATAAAGTTCCTTTAATTTGTTTATTCACCAATTTCATACTGATTTTTCTGCTGTAACACTGTTTTTAGCTGATCTTGCTTTGAATTTTTAAAAATGTTTATCCTAATTTTATTTATGTTGGCCAAGAGTAATGTCTTTTACCTTGTATGGAGCAAGAAATGCTTGATGCTCAAATTGGATTCAAAAGGGAAAGAGGCACTTGAGATCTTATTGCAAATATTTCCTATAGGTGGCTTCCTATAGGCAAAGGAGTCACACAAGGGTGCATTTTATCCCCTCTTCTGATCAGTTTGAACACAGAACATACCATATGGAAAACCAGACTAAATTCAGCTAGAAAATGAGTGAAAATTGGTGGAACATCAATAGTTTCAGACATGCATATGACACTGAATGCAGCAATGACTTGAAAGAACATTTGGAGAAAGTGAAGAAATGTGTTAACGCATGATTGAAGCTGAACATGAAGAGGGGAAAAATCATGACTACCAAAGAACTACACAACTTTAATGTTGACAATGAAGAATTGGAAATTGTTAACATTTTGTATATCTTAGTTCAGTCATCAGTCCAAATGGATTGATGACTGAATGAAGGAAGAACCAATAAATCAGAAAAAGACTGAGATCAGGAAGGTCAGCAATAAAAGAATTAGAAAAAATTATCAATTGTGAGGATGTGTCACTGGAGACCAAGATCATCCACACTTTTTTATTTTCAGTATTTTCATGTATGGGTATGAAAGTCAGACAGGATAGAAAGCTGACTTGGGGGAAATGATTTATTTGAATTATGGTGCTGGAGGAGATCTTTGCTGATACACTGGACTGCCAGGAAGACAAATATATGGGTCCCAGAGCAAATCAAGTTCAACTATCTCTGAAGGCAAAAATGATGAAACTGCAGCTGTCATAATTTGGACACATGAAGAGAAGGCAAGATTAGCTGGAAAAGACAACAATGTTGAAAAAAGGTTGAAGACAGCAGGAAAAGAGGAAAACTAAATATGAGATGTATTCACTCCCTAAAGGAAGCCACAGGCTTCACTTAACAAGAGCAAAGCTGTTGAGGACAGGACATCTTGGCTCTCTCTCATTCTTAGGGTCACCATAAGTCAAAGGTGACTTGACAGCATCCGACAGCAACAACACTGTACAATAAGATAAGTAATGTTCTTAAGGTGGGCTGGTCTTCCAGTACTCTTCTTTCAGGAAAGGTCCACCTTAAAAACAAGGTGATTAACCTTGAATAGCTTAAGTGTTTTTTTAAAAAACTGGGGTTTTTTTTGTTGCCATGACTACACCACCAAACTTCAGTGGCATGGTAGAAATGTAGCAGTAGAGCAGTGGGAACGGCAGTGGATGTAGAATACTGAAAGGGGAGTGGAGGAAAGGTCTGAAGACTGTATATTGCCCACTCCTATATTATTACTCCCTGGGCTGTGCATTTCATTAGCTTAAATAGATTTATATTTCAATAGTTTTTTAAAAAAGGGAAAGGGACAACAATACATATCATGTAAATGAAATCAAGGACAGATTCCCATAACAGTCCGTTTTGATTAAAACAGTGAAGATGATTGTGGTCCTTTAAAGATTAACATGTGGTATGAGCTTTTATGGATTGTGGTTCATGTCATCAGGTCCATAGGATGGATCTACAGGAACATACAGTATACTGATTTTTTCCATGTCAGACCATCGAGCTGAGTCTTGTTTCTCCCTGAATAACAATGGTTGTCCAGAGTTTCAGAATGGAGTCTTTCCCAGCCCCAGAAGGAGAACCCAAGGATCTAAAGTGCCTGATTTGGCTTTGGTACCTCAGAAGTTAAAAATCCAGAGCAGAAGCTTTGATTTCACAGGATCAAAGGGTGACAGACGGTTGGGCAAAAGGGCCCAAGTAATGCAAGATCAATTCATGGAAGATTGGGAGCTGGACATAGAGTAAATTCCATGGATCCCACTGAGGTGAAGAAAGGAAAGAAGGAAGCAAGGGAACAAGGGAACAAGATTGGTGGGAGCTTTGCCTGCGCACTGGAGGTTAAGCAGTAGTTGATGGCACTGAGTACAATTCTTAATCCAAATCAGAGTCATTTATTTTTCTCATGTTCATGTTTTCTTCCACTATTCAAACAAATACTTTAAAATATTTGGACAGGCTACAAAACAGCTGCAATTTGTAAGACATATAATACAGCCCAGACAGAAGAACATGGTATTTGCAGATGACTAAACTTAAAGGTAAAGGTTCCCCTTGACAATTTTTGTCCAGTCGTATTCGACTCTAGGGGGCGGTGCTCATCCCCGTTTCCAAGCCACAGAGCCAGCGTTTTGTCCGAAGACAATCTTCCGTGGTCACATGGCCAGTGCGACTTAGACACGGAACGCTGTTACCTTCCCACCGAGGTGGTCCCTATTGATCTACTTGCATTTGCATGCTTTCAAACTGCTAGGTTGGCGGGAGCTGGAAGAAGCGATGGGTGCTCCCTCCGTTGCGTGGATTCGATCTTACAACTGCTGGTCTTCTGACCCTGCAGCACAGGCTTCTGCGGTTTAGCCCACAGAGCCACCACGTCCCTCAACTTAACTTATGCTATTATTGAAAATATATAATTTTTTTTACTATGAAGCAGAACAGAATGTTGAAATGCAAAGATGACTCATTGGATAGAATCCAGTCAAACCCAGCTGTCCTTGCCAAGAGACATTGATACCTCTGCTAACAGAAGGAAACAATTTAAAGTAATGCACCTTTCCTCTTGCAGAACCCTGAATTCCACCCCAATCAGTTCCACAGGGTTGGAGGACCTCCTGAACAATGTGGAAGGGTAGCAAGATAGCTGCAAGGGAAAAATGATTCAGCAGAACCACACACACACACACATACACAAACACATGTTTCTTTTTTATTTGTGAAGGTGTCTGCTGTACAGGTTTCGGTGGTGGCCACAAGTGCATTTGCACTATTAAAACTAGTGTGCCAGCTGCATCCATTTCTTGAGAGATCTGATCTGGCCACTGTCGTACATCCTTTAGTTACTTCCTAGCTGGATTACTGTAATGTGCTCTATGTGGGACTGCCTATGGGGTCAAGAAACTTCAAGTGGTCCAAAAAGCAGCAGCCAGATTACTCACTGGGGCTGGTTACAGGGATCCCATAACGGCACTATTGCAGCAGCTCCACTGGCTGCTGGTCAGTTTCCAGACACAATTCAAAGTGCTAGTTTTAATATAAAGCCCTAAATGGCCTGGCCCCAACCTATCTAAAAGATCATATTTCCCATTATGAGCCAGCTCAGGTGTTTAGATTACCAGGAGAGGCCTTTCTCTCGTCCCACCTCCTTCACAGGTGCATCTGATGACAACACAGGATAAGGCCTTCTCTGTTGCTGCATCTAGACTTTGGAACCCCCTCCCACAGGAAGCCAGACTGGCCCTATCTTTGCTATACTTCTGTAAGCAGGTAAAGACCTTTCTCTTCAGGCAAGCCTTCCCTCAGTAACCAGCTACCTGTGTGTGATGTTTAAATAGATTGCTATGCATTAGTGCTTTGATTGGATTGTTAGTACCACTTGTGTTTTCCATTTCTCAGAGTGGCTTTTTTTTAAAAAAAAATTGTATACTTACTGATCTTTGCATTAACATTAGGTCCAACTTGACAGCAACTCGCAACTTGCCAGTCCTCATCCCTGATAAATCAGCAGTTACACAAAGCCCATGGAGTGAATGGCTCTACTGCTGTTGGGATTAGCAGAAGGATATGCATCCTCCCTCCTCCCAAAGCTGGGAAAATCTCTACATTTCACTTATACCTTCTGTCCATTAAATATAAAAAATGATGTTTGAAATTATTCCAAGTAAATGATGTTTGAGTTGATGAGAGATTATATGGATATATCCTGCCCATAAAAGTAAAATTCTATTATTGTTTTTTTTGCTTGCTTGCTTTTTAAAACCTTTTAGGTTTTTTTTTTTATTAGAATCAATGAAAAACGCAACTCCAACTTACATGATGGAATATCACAGCGTAATATAAAACATATCACTTTAGTCTGTAAACTAACATTGGTTGTCTATAGGATTTTTCCATATATGTTCTCTATCTCTCTCTTCCTCTCCCTCTGTGTGTATGTGTGGGCAGAGAGACTGTTTAAGCAGAAATTCCCTTTTCATGGGGAAAATTGTGTGTGTGTGTGTATGTACGTATGTGTAATATAGCACACCTATACTGCATGTCGGGCCATGTACAGTTACCAATCAGAATTCTTTTGATCAAAAAATTCTCCTTGCATAATATTCTCATATATCAACATTTCAAAATGCATTATATGCCCTGTATACTCTGGGTATTTGATAAATTTTGTCCTTACATAGATGTGGCTCTCCTCAAATATGTTGGAAGTAATAAATTGCTATAATCAAATCTAATTTCTGGAAAATACCTTTGGGAACAGCAAACAAAAAAAAGTGTGTCTTGTTAAAAAAATGATAAATAACACTGAAGGTAGTAGTTTGTTATAATCAACTTGGCATTGAATTACAAAATTAAAATTATGTGGCCCTTGATAACTAACCCTAGCAATGTATAAGATCTGTAGAATTATGTTGACATTTTGCATTTCACAGGAGCAGTTCAAAGAATAATAACAGAAAAAAATGAAAAGATTTATCACGAAGGACTCTGTAGCGCAGAATATTTTTGAGGAGGAAAAATCCATTTATTTTGGTCTGTTAAGAAAACTGACAGATCAACCATTTGCTTAGAACTCATTAAGTTTATAAACTCATGAAAGAGCCTTATTTTCCTGAAAGAAACCTTTGGCAGCAGCAGTAAGCAAATTACATTAGTTCTATCTTTTATTATTGTGATAGAATATATGAAGTGGAAGGTGTTGCTGTATCCAATAAATATAGGAAATTCTGAAGAAGAGATTTAGTAGTATTATTAAGTACACAGTTATGTGTCATTAAATGAGATTTGCATAATTTCTCATCAAAAAGATGGCATCTGACCTGCTGTTTTTAAGAAGTTCTGGCATCAAGTGTTCTACTGCTAGAGGAAAGAAATAAATCTAGCTGAGATTTGTTCCTTGCACCTACCGATAACATTTTCCTTGCATTTGCACTGGCCTGAATTTGGGTGACAGGTAATACCTCCATTGACTGTCCCAGAGGTATTACAGTTACAGGAGCTACAGCCATCAGGATCTGACTGTTGAAGATTGTAGAATCCTTCCTGGCATTGATTGCACTGTCGGCCAGACACATGTCTCTTACAATTACAGTGGCCTCCCATCTGGAGAGATAGAAAAAGAAAAATGTTGTAGAATGATAAATGTGTCTCCTCTTCCCCCTCCCCCCCATCACTGCTTCCAATAGACCCACATTAGCAACCTGGGTAGGTTGACAGGTTAAAAAAAAATCTTCAAGTGAAAAGAGGGACAAAACAGGGCTCCGCAGTTTATGTGCCAGCTGGCTGGGTAGCTCATTAAGATGGAGTACCAGGGGTTGGGAATTCAATTCCTCAATGTGCCTTCCTGGAGAAGAGCTGGCCCATGGTAGCTTTGGACAAGGAACACCGCCAGAAGAGGGGACTGGTAACTGCTACTGAGTTCTTCATACCTAGGAAATCCTGGCAAGGGCTGCCATAATTCAGACACGTCTTGACAGCATATAATAATTAATTAGTCAAGTCACATTTAAAAAACCCAACCCTCTAAAACAGTGGTCCCCAATCTTGGGCCTCCAGATATTCTTAGATTTCAACTCCCAGAAATCCTGGCCAAGAGAGGTGGTGGTGAAGGCTTCTGGGAGTTGTAGTCCAAGAACATCTGGAGGCCCAAGATTGGGGACAATTCCTCTAAAAATATTAGTAACACAAACTCATTAGCCTCACTTAAGGAAGGACAGGCATTTGGGGTTGAGATAAATTTTAACCTGTCTGCATAGAACTAACATACGAGTGGCTCTCAGATGTCTTCTCTGAGGGCCACCTCAAGTGTTGCAGGTGTGTGTCACTGCCATACTCATTCCACAGATGCCACTGCCATTTCATTAGGGAAGACAGTGCATAAGCTCCTCCAGCACAACTTCCGCTTAGGAATCTAATCTGGACTGGATCAACAAAGCATAAGGGTGGTTCTCCTTACAATGCTGTCTTCTCCAGTGCCACAACCCATCAAATACTTTCTCAGACACCTGTTCGCTAGTCTGCCAATGTTGTTGTTCCTTCAAGTCAGAACCAACTTGTAGTGATTCTAATGAAGTCAGAACCAACTTATAGTGATTCTAATGGGACTCTCAAGGTAAGTGAGGTATTTAAGAATCACTTTCCCACTCAGTTTCCATGTCTGAAACCTAGGCCTCCTGAGTTCTAGTCTGTTATTCTATCCACTATAACACACTGGGTAGCCATTGTGTCAATTGTCTGTCAATAGTCTTGACAAAATGAGGAAGGAGGCAGATGAGAAAAGTCATCCCCACATGCAGCACATCTCCAGCCCTCCTGCTCAGCCAATTGGCCGTGGCAAGCATAGTGAAATGATCTCAGTACTAGGCATGGGGAAGGTTAAACAATCAGAAGGCATACAGAATGACAAAAATGCAAGCCGGCTTTCAAGTTATGGCACCTCCAGGTTTAATGTGGCCAAAGTGGATTCCTCTTTCTCGTCAAAAGTTATGGCACCTCCAGGTTTAATGTGGCTCTAGGGCTGGATGTCCAAAGTGGATTCCTCTTTCTCGTCATCACTTTCAGCTCTGCTCACACCATTGCCCAGAAGGAGAAAGCCAAGAGAACTGAGCTGCGTCACTCTAGTCTGCAAACCTTGAAAATGTCGAACTGAAAGTCCAGTTTGGCCCTTAACAGTTTACATCTGTCCCCTGGAAGTCTCTTACTCAAATGGCACTCCAGATTTTACTTAACAACTGAAACCAAAAAAACACAAAATGGTTCTGCATTTTCTTTTCCATGTTTTTGTCAGTGAATGGAAAGAAGTAACAGAAAACATTGAAGTGTCTCGTATTCAAAGAGCACTCCAGATTTTACTTAACAACCGAAACAAAAAAAAAACACAAAATGGTTCTGCATTTTCTTTTGCATGTTCTTGTCATTGTTTTACACCCTTGGGAAAAGTCAGTGAATGGAAAGAAGTAACAGAAAAGAGCAGAACAAGGAGACAATGGGGGTAGATAGCATTGGGCCCCTGCTCTGGTGTGGCTTCAATAAACACTCACCAATTCTAACTGTTGGACACCAGGACTGCTGTGAAAACACTTTTGTTTTAAAATTAATGCAAACATCTGGCCCTAACGGAGCGGAGAGTGCTTGTAGCACTATGGGGCGGTATATAAGTCCAAAAATAAATAAATAAATAAAATAAAAAGAGCAGAGCAAGGAGACAATGGGGGTGGATAGCATTGGGCCCCTGGTCTGGTGTGGCTTCAATAAACATTCACCAATTCTAACTGTTGGACACCAGGACTGCTGTGAACACACTTTTGTTTTACAATTAATGCAAACATTTGGCCCTAAACATGCAAAAGAAGTTCATTGGTTTTGACCATCTGAACACATATCTCCTTTTTGTCATCCTCTTATATATAATGGGGGTGGATAGCATTGGGCCCCTGGTCTGGTGTGGCTTCAATAAACATTCACCAATTCTAACTGTTGGACACCAGGACTGCTGTGAACACACTTTTGTTTTACAATTAATGCAAACATTTGGCCCTAAACATGCAAAAGAAGTTCATTGGTTTTGACCATCTGAACACATATTTCCTTTTTGTCATCCTCTTATATGTAACATCCAGGACAAGAAGGAAAATCACCTCATCTTGAGAACTCACATATTTACAAGGCTTACAGGGCATTTTGGAGAAACAAAGAGCATAGGATGCTAGACATACAATGGTAGAGCTGGAAGCGACCTCAACTCCAATCTCCTGACCAAGCAGGACATCCACAGCTAAAGCATCTTTGATAGTAACTAACATCTGCTTTGAAAACTCCAATGAAGGTGAAGCCACTTTTATTTTGAGATTCTCCATCCTACTGTCAAGCAGTTCTTCCTGTCAGAAAGTTCTCCCCATAGCAGAGCTAAAAAGTTCTTCCTTGTAATTTGAATGTGTTTCTTTGAGTTCTGTCCTCAGAGCTACAGAAAACAAGCTTGCCCGATGGTTGCCAACAGGATTCTACTCATTGTACTACTTTTATAGGTAACGAAAGCATAGCACTCCTTTTTAAATAACATGTAGCATTGATTCATGAGTCATTTTGGTAAAGTGGATGCCGTGTTGGAATAAAACTCAGTTTCAAATTCTGCTCAGCTATGATACCTCACCCAGGGATAGAAATGGTAAACCGCATGTGAAACACACACTTTGAAAATCCTGATAGGGTTGCCATAAGTCAGAAGCAACTTGACAGCACATGACAACAACAGCATTGAACAGGACCTTATAGGCCCCTTCCAACTCAATTATTCTATGATTCTATGATTCTATCTACTCATTATTTTTCTGATTAATTTTGCAGGCTAAAACTAGGGCTTTTGGCAGAATTCTGAGATTTTTTTTACAAGTAATAGACAATAATGATTTCAATAATGGTAATATTAAATACCATAACAAGTAACTCAACAAGTAACTTAGTTTCTCTTTAACATTTATGAAAAGTTACATCATCAATGACTTTTTAAAAGTAACTTCCCAAGCTCTGAACTTCATCAAATTAAACACTGTCATTGATCTCTGTTGATCTCTTTCCTTGTTCTGCTCTAGCGCTTCTATTTCCAGCAAGCAGGAGGGAGAAAATGCAACTGTCGGAAAGAAATATAAAGTAGTTCTCTACCAGTTCCCAATAATTTCCATTTACATGGGCATAGCATGTGGGACTTCTGGTTCAACCCCATTAATATACAGTCATATAAAAAAGAAGGCACCAGCTGAGGATACCAAAAGCTTTGAGGATACACAATCCAATCCCTGAGACAAAAAGAGAGTACAAAGGAGTGGCTGAATTATAAGCAATAATAATTAAGAATAGCTCAGAAGGGAAAGGAGAGAACAGTGATTCAAGGAAAGTAAGGTGAAAGTTCAGCGCTGAAGGGATTCAGTGTTGCAAAGGGAAAACAGGCCACTGATGGAAAATGACAGTGTTTAATTTGAATGAGGGCTCAAACTCTGAACTTGAGTAGTATTAATAAAGTACTCCTGCACACATAATATGAAAGGTGCATCTTCTTTAACCCAAATTAATCACAGTCATAAAAACATAACAAGAGCTGTGCTTATTATGTTTAAACCCAATTTTTATGTGTGAAGTGTAGACATCTCTTCCATCATGTTGTCATCGTTTCGACTTATGTACTGTTCCATAGTGCTCAGAACACTCTCAGAGACATTTACAACACAATGATGCAAACAATAATTTGCTCCCCAGCAAATGTGTTGCAATGCAGTCCTGCTATGCACGTTTGTAAATGATGTTGCCACAAGAGTGAAGGGAATGGCATGGACTTTTCCCATCTCCCTCTACATTCTATCAAAAGGAAAGGTTCCACTGTCATAAGAAAGACTTTGACGAGTGGCTCTTAGTGATTCAGCTTGAAGCATGTCACTGCAGAACTGGCGGACATGTTTCTGGCCACTCTTGGCAAGAAAGCACTCCCTGGTCCCAATGATTCAAATGAAAAGACGTTTAATATATACTCCATTCATCTAAATTAAGATTAAAGGTAAAGGTAAAGGTTCCCCTTGACAATTTTTGTCCAGTCGTGTCCGACTCTAGGGGGCGGCACTCATCCCGCTCTTCAAGCCATAGAGCCAGCGTTTGTCCGAAGACAATCTTTCCGTGGTCACATGGCCAGTGTGATTTAGACACGGAACACTGTTTACCTTCCCACCGAGGTGGTCCCTATTTATCTACTCGCATTTGCAAGTTTTCGAACCGCTAGGTTGGCGGGAGCTGGGAAAGGCGACGGGTGCTCATTCCGTCGCGTGGATTCGAACTTACAACTGCTGGTCTTCTGACCCTGCAGCACAGGCTTCTGCGGTTTAGCCCACAGTGCCACCACGTCTCTAAGATTAATGGATTAATTAAAGCTGCAACTTTATACCCTCAAAAGTCTCATCAGGTCAATGGGGCTTATTTAACTCTAGATATGCAAAATATTGGCTAAAACAAACAAGAAGTAACCATGCAAAGGATCACATTTCTATTCTAGATTGTACTATTGTGAAGGTTGGACTTTAGGGTCCTCTAATGGTTCACAGAAAGCAGTAGAGTGTTGTTGCTTCAAAACAGGTGAAAGATTTATTGGTGCATTTAACAATAAACAAATGTCTCTCAGATGATTATGAGTCTTTTCTACTTCTGCCAAGGGGTCCGGAAGGGGTCTCCAATCTTCAAACAGGAATGGGTTGCCATAACTATTATTTGATGGTAGCAGTAAATCAGGAGGGACCCAGTCTCTCACGGTCTGCCCCATCAGACCTTCCAGCAAGGGCACAGTCTCGTCATCCCGATTGCCATTCCACAGGGTTCGTCTCTCGGGGTCTCGATCTTCCCAGGATCCTCCCTGTAGTACTTCTTCCTCATCTCTCTTATTCTCCATTCTAGCCTTTTTCTCCATTTTCTCTGCTCTTTCCTTCTCTTCTCTCAACCTCCTCCTCTACTCTCTCGCCTCGGCTTCTCCCCAATAAGAGGGTCTGGGGGAGAATCTTCCTTCTTCTTCTGTAATCCGCCTCCTCTTTAGGCACTCTCAGCCTCTCCCAGCATCCTGTCCAGGAGTGTTCCATCCACACCCATTCTCAGACTGCTGGCAATGGACTCTCTTTCCTTTTTACCTCCCCTGTTCCTGCCTCAAACTCCACCCTCTTTTCCCTCTCTTTTCTTGCCTTTTCCTCCTGGACCTCTCTCATTGGCACACCCTGCAAGTTCTCCGTCAACTCCCCTATTTCTGTCCCATACTGAGCTTCTGCCTGCAGGTTCTGGTTCTGACTGGGGACTCTCCTCCTTATACTTGTTGTGGGGGAGAGATGGCTCTCCAGCGAGTGGGGCATCCCTCTCGCCTTCTGTCTCACGACTATCCAAATTACTTTCATCAAGATACACCTGACACATAAAGACATAGACATCGATGAAACTGGTTCTATGGTAGCAGAATTACTTCTCCAAAACTAAAAAAAAAAAATGTGCTTGCTCGCTCGCTCGCTCTTTTTAAATCTAAAGCAAACATTTCAGATGATTGTTCTTTTCCGGAATTCTGTATCTTCGTTTAGGCTAAATGACATATAACTGGTCCTGTACAGAAAAGCATTGATGAACTGCTGGGAATGGTAAATTATGCAGAGAAAGTGTATTCGGGCCCATTTTTAACACATTTCCTTGAAAATTATCCTTGTGACGTGACAATTAATTTTCATGAGCCAGGGCCTTATTCCTTATGATTCCATCTTCCTTGGGTCAGCCTTGGAAACACTTCCTTCAATAATGCCTTTCTATTTCATGTAATTCATTTCAGCCCATTCTCTCCAGCCTTACTAATCTATTTTTTAATGCCTCTTAATCATTTTGCTCTACCTTGCTCCCATTGCAGCAGTCTATTGATGTCTTATTGAGCTGTACAGTCCAACCCATTTTTCCTTATTTTCTTTTTTATAAAATCTTGGTTTTGGACTCATTTTTCAGTCTTATTCATTGCTAACTTTCTAAGAGAAAACGCACACACACACACACAATCCCACCTTGAACTAGAACAACTCAGTGCACAATAACTGCCACTTGAAACAAGAAATCTCAAAGAAGGCATTTAAATTCTCTCTCATGCACTGTTCTCACCACCTTATGGGAATCTTTAAATTGTTTCCGGAGTTTTAAAGTATTTTAATTTTGATGGTCTTGGCCAGTAAAGCAGCATTATGAGAGCCACAAAACCAAATCCTGTCCTTCAGACTATTGTCGCTATTCTAAGCACAACGCTAGCAGGTTTCACTTTGCTGTTTACAAGCTTAAACCCCATGTTGGCAATGAGCTCTTGATAGGCAGAAGATATCAAATCTTGCTGTGCTCACATAGCCTCTTGAAGGATCAAAGCTACCAATAAAAGAGAGTCCCCAGAGAGCATAAAAAACAAACACAGAATGACAGAAAAAGACACAAAATGTTACAGGATAAAATGATTTTTCAACGTCACACCAGCAAAGAATGTCCAGTGTCACATAAGAAGACTTTAAGGGAGTCAAGTTTTAGACTGGAGCAGATCCCAGTGGAGGGTCTCCCCCCCCCTCATATTCTGCTGGACTTTGGAGTGGACGGGGGGGGGAGGAAATGAATGAATGGAACAGTCCAATGCATGTTTCTGTTTGCATATGAAAGATGGCTTAAAACAACTGACACATCTTAAAATACATGTCTGTGGGGAGTCTTGAGGAATGCAATTCCTCTCCCTGTCTGTGGTAGTTATAGGGAATGAAGAGCAGGCACAGTGGGTAAAAGCACAGGAAGATGATAAGTAACCTCAGCATTAGATACAGCAAAGAATACTGAGGAAGCGAAAAAAGAAGGGAAGCATTGAAAGACCTGTGGCAAAATAGAAAAGAAAAACCATGCCTAAATCAAATTGCCGGTTCCAACAGACCCATTCATTCAACCAGTGAAAATCAAACCTCACCTAAATTCCATGGATTCAATGGTTGTACATTGTTTAGGATTACCAAATTCAGGACGATGGGAGTAGTTTGTTGCTTGGGCAGGGGAATAGAAGCAGGCCTCGGGAACCCTCTTCTAGTGATCAGGTGGGGTTCTAGATACAAGAAGAGTGATCTGGAACACTAAATTAAGATGAGGCCCAGAATGCTACAAGATCTTGAAGAATAACACCTATTTTCCTTTTCTGAGTACTTTTAAATAAACTACTGCATACATCACCATATTACCCAGAACACCTCTGATCAAACCTGCTTTGAGAAGGTAAGCAAGTCAGGCCTGTTATTTCTTAGCAGGGAAAACGTAAAGGAATATCAGGCATCTCCAGGCTCTGATCATTCAAGAGGCTATGTGTGCACAGCAAGATATGAAAATGCCTGCCTAAGAAGAATTCATTGCCAACATGAGGTTTTCGCTTGTAGAAAGCAAAATGAGAGAACCCTCTCTGAAGCCCAGAGAGCTGGGCTTGACAACACTGCGTGAGACAGACAGATTTTAATGTGTAAAACCCTATTAATACCTCCTTTCTGATATGCTTTTGCAATATTTCTGGTCCAACAAGCATAACCCTCCATGGACTATGCCGGTGGAAGATTTAGACAGATATAGCTTTGATATCAGAAATTTTCTTTGCTTCATATATACCCTGGGTAGACCTAATGAGGTCTAATTTTCTTTGCTTCAAATATACTCTGAGTTGGACCTAATGAAAGGCCAGCCCCTAGGACTGGACCATCCACTCACGCATCTTAACACAGGGCCATTGATACTATTCCTGCCCATGGTGCCCAGAGCTCTGCTCTCTTCCCACTCTGCTGGCCACTCAGCAGTCAGTCATACAGGGAGACTCATTCTCCTGTCCCCTGCCTGGAGTGATCAGCTGAGCAGGAACAGAGCAGAGCTCCAGGTGCCATTGGCAGGATGAGCGGGAACGGCACTGCGACAAGATGTGCAAGTGGACGGCCCAGTCCTGGGGGCTGGACCCTCTTTAGGTGAATACGAATATCCTCATCTCAGTCTTAAGGGCTGTTCACATGTTAAAGAATATCTCAGGTTGACATGATTCAACTTAAAGTGAGTAAGATATAGATTCATCCTGTTACAATTGGCAGAGTCCCATCATTCACTGGAAAGTTTCTTTTTCCAGCTTTCATTTTCATAGAATTACTTCACAATTGGCTCTACTCCAGTGGTTCTTTATTAGATCACTTATCCATGACAGGCAAGAAAACAAAACAAAAGCAGGTCAGTTGCATGTGTGAACGGTGCCATTTGAAACATTTGGAAGACCTTTTTATTCAGGCCACTGAGCAGCCGTGGATAGGTTGTGAGCTGAGTGGATTTCTTTTTTAAAAAAAAAACTTTACTTTCCATTTTTACAGTTTTACAACACTGTGGCCATAAGGATATAGAACAATAGAAACTTTACATCCCTCCATGAACCTGTCTTAATTTTGAAACAAGAAACTTTTTTTGCCCCAAAGTAGTTGTCTTTTGATTAAAATCTTGCAAGAATTTTTATTTATTTATTTATTTATTTAAAAAAGCAGTCTATATTAGGACAGGAAATTTAGGAGACTCATAGGGTCACCATGAGTTGAAGGTGATTTGATGGTACCTAAGAACAAGAACAACAACATTTGTTTGCACATATGGTGACATTTTAGGGTCCAAACTAGACAATACAGTTATTACGTTTTAAGAGATGAACCTCCCTGTTATTTATTTATTTATTTATTTAAAAAAGCAGTCTATATTAGGACAGGAAATTTAGGAGACTCATAGGGTCACCATGAGTTGAAGGTGATTTGATGGTACCTAAGAACAAGAACAACAACATTTGTTTGCACATATGGTGACATTTTAGGGTCCAAACTAGACAATACAGTTATTACGTTTTAAGAGATGAACCTCCCTGAGGTGATCAGGACATCAGATTGTCCTAGACAGAGCTTGCCTCACTCTGAATTTTGAAAATGAGTATGGCTTTGTATTACTATTGGATGTGAGAAGGTAAATGTAGGCTTCATTTGCAAGTCTGATTGTGCTTTGAAGGAATTCTGTGCCTGGAGGGAAAAGATAATATCAAGAAATACACATTTTCCCTATTATGTGATTTTATTCTAGAGGTCAATACTACTTACCTTGTCACACGAGTGGCTACTGTTTTTCGTGCCTGCTGTGCAACATTCACAAGGTTTACAAACATCCACAGCTGAAAGAGTTGCATCTACAGGCCGATAAAATAAATCCTTACACAATTCACAGTTTCTTCCTGAATGAAGAAAAGGTTATGCATTATAGCTTCAAATTCATTAAAATTAGCTGTATAATTCAAAATTAAAGACTATTCCTTTGAGAGAATTCTATAATTTTCAGGACGTCCATTTTAATGCACCTTTCATCTCTACCTGCCAATTTAGTGATCCAGAGCATATGAAACAATGAACCTGTTACAAAGTGTTTTTTACTCCATTAAACTTCCATCTGTTACATAACACAACACTCCTATAAAGCTATCCTACGTGGATATCTATTCTATAATTTTTTTTAAAGGAGTTACACTTGAACTTCAAGCTTTCCATACTATCCTTAGGGAAAGCCAAGACTATGTAACTAATTATTTTAAAAATCACATGACATTCTCAGCTAAGTTGCACATTCAGCTTGTTCACCTTGTGCTTTATAGATTTCCTCAGGGATATAAATCTTTACTTGTCTCATTCTCGCAGGAAGGACAAGGAGTTGTATCATCCCTTGCACCTACAAGAAGTTGAGAAATTCTAGGTACCCTTAATAAGAGTCCTTCCATTGGGTGGTAATTTACATTTTTTCTGCAAAATTGTGAAACTTGCATGAATTGCAGAGATTGCCCGAAGATAGGATGACTGTTGAGTCATTTAAGGATATATTTGTTTTTTGTTTGGCATTTTTCTTCATAATCTACCAGTTCTATGAGTCTTGGTTACTGAATATGGATTATCTTCTCAAAGAGAAAGGGATCTTAGAGACTTTTTATACAAATTACAGCAGTTTACAGGAGGAAAAACAGAGTTTATTTCTTTATTTATTTAACTCATATCCCATTCTACCCAAAGGTCTCTGGGCAGCTTACAACAATTAAAATACAATTAAAATAGATACTCTAAAAATTGCCATCAGGACCCACAGTTGATATTATTTCAATTAAAAGCCTTCTGGAACAGGAAGGTTTTGACCTGGCGCCGAAATGTCATCAGCATCGGCGCCAGACGAATCTCAGTCACTCGGGAAGTTGTCTTCCTGGGGCCAAGGAATCTTGTGGGGCTTAAAAATTCCTCATTCAGGTAACCTTGTTGTGTCAAGATGGCCCAAATTAACAAGAACAAGGAATTTAGCAAGTATTCTTTCCATCCATATAGTTCAAAGTTGGGGGTGATCAAATTACTTTTCATATATGTGACATGCTTTCCATCCATATAGTTCAAAGTTGGGGGGTGATCAAATTATTTTTCATATATGTGACATGAAAAGGCAGAGAGTGTGTGTGTGTGTGCGCGCGTGTGTGTGTGTGTGTGTGTGTGTGTGTGTTGTGTGTGTGTGTTGTGTGTGTGTGTGTGCGCGCGCACGCACGCAAGCACATGCTCATGCGCCTTATATGCTATATGGAAGGATCCATGGTTACCAAGAAAACAGATATGAACACGTGTCTCCAGTTCTGGCACATCTCCACTAGCTTCTTGTTCAATTCTGTGCTCAATTCAAGCTGCTAGTAATGTATTTCCTATAAAGGCCTTAATGGTTTAGGAGTCTGATACATGCTGGAACATCTCTCCTACAGAACAGCTACCCGTCCTTGCAGTCATAATTGTTTAAAAAAGCAACATATAAGGACACCACGAAATCAGGTGTTTTCAATTATGGCCTCATACTTTTGGAATAAATTACAAATAACAGTTCACCAGATGCCCTCCCTCCCAATTTTTAAGAATCTGCTTAAAGTGGAATCATTTAAAGATGCCTTTTATTAATGTGTGCCATTTGATATCCAGTTTATGTCAGATACAGCAAGTTGTGGTTTTATTTTATTGCTAATTGTTCATCAATATTTATTATTGGTATTGCATCATCTGTAGTTTACATGTGTTGGTTGTTAATAGTGTGTGTCACGCTATTGGGTGGTATACAAGTTAAACAAACAAGCAAATGTGATGATATAGTGCACCTTGCTTTGCCGATAGATGCTACACCCCTCCCTTTGGTGACTATACTGCTGTTTAGCTCAACCTTCTTTTAATTTGGGCTACATAATTACATTGTATATGTCATGATGGATAGAGGCCTGCACTTTACCTCATATACACTATGCTGCATGTCTGCTTATATGAACCAGTCCTAGAGCTCCATATTTCAAAGTCTCCTTATTTAAGTTTGCTTATTTCTGTAATGCAGATTCATATAACCCAAATCAATTCCATTTCCTGGGCTGATGCACACAATGCAAATGCAAATTCCCTTGCTCTTCAACCTCAGATGCAGAGGCACTTTTGAAAAAAATGGAAGAGCCAGCCACAGTGACTATAGATGTACGCTGTTCTGTCGTGTTAATTACCTGTGGTGTTATGTTGACAGTCATCACAGACTCCTCCACCACCTCTGTAGTGTTCATTAGGATAAGGATCCATTGTCCTGTTGTAGTGACAGCTTGTTGCATGGCCATAACATTGACAAGGTTTGCAATTATAAGCATGAACTTGATCTCCTGGATGAAAAGGCTTGTCATTGTATAGTGGCCAACAGCGATCACACTGGAGAAAATAGGGAATAATAAAGAGATTATTATTTGGAATATTGAGCTATGTATGTGTATACCATACTGTGTATTTCATGTGCCATTGTGCTGCATTATCATAGAAGATGCAAATGATGCTTTGCCCAAAACACATCTTCCACAGGACCTCTATTGTAATCCAAATGGAATCTTAAGCACATATACTCAAAACTGAATCCTGTTGGGTTTAATGGGAGCTTGCTCTTTGGAAAATGCTCTTTCAAATGCTCTGCCAACTTTAATTCTTGACTCTCATCCAACTAGTTCATGTATACTTTACAATGCACATGCCTGGAGTCAATTTTACCTTATGGTGACCCTTCCCAGGGTTTTCTAAAGTACTCAGAAGTGGTTTATCAATCCCTCCTTCTAATAGTACTGTTGGGTTTAATGGGAGCTTGCTCTTTGGAAAATGCTCTTTCAAATGCTCTGCCAACTTTAATTCTTGACTCTCATCCAACTAGTTCATGTATACTTTACAATGCACATGCCTGGAGTCAATTTTACCTTATGGTGACCCTTCCCAGGGTTTTCTAAAGTATTCAGAAGTGGTTTATCAGTCCCTCCTTATAATAGTACTCTGGGACCAATCATCTTGCCTCAGGCCTCACAGGTTGAGTCTTCTCCCAGGAGCTGTCAGCTGAGTTATCCAACCAAAGACTGTAACTTAACTACTGTATTGCCATGATGGCATGCTTCTCAGTGGGCATGCTTCTCAGAGCAAATATTGCCTGATCAAGGGATAGGTTGCAAGAATTCATTCCCTTCTCCCATGAAATGGATTTTAACATTTTCAAGACTGAAAATACTCAGCAATGCTGAACAAAACTACGTAAGCTGCCCGTATGGGATGCAAGGGCATTGCATGCACATTCCCAGGAGCTTTGTACAAATTCTTTTCCACATACACCAAAAAAGGTGATTTTTAAGTTTATTCCCAGATGCAGACCACTTCTGTTGGATCTGGGTTTTTCCACAACATGCCTTTTGACCTAGTTTAGACAGCTGCCATTATCTTCATAATCATTAATGAAAATGGGCAGATGGGCTTATGCTCGGTGAGGTCACGACTACTTGAACAGTTCCTCTATGTGGTGCTTGCATGCCCAGATGCTAGGATTTATGCAACAGGGATCGTTTTAGCCTGGAAAATTGTTACAATAGCCATTATACTGGTTTTATCTAACTGGCTGTATGCTTAAATATATGTGGAAAGTTTGTACTTCAACTTGCTTAGGATAGGAGATACGTACTGCTGTGGTCCCCAACCTTGGGCCTCCAGATGTTCTTGGACTACAACTCCCAGAAGCCTTCACCACCATCTCTACTGGCCAGGATTTCTGGGAGTTGAAGTCCAAGAACATCTGGAGGCCCAAGGTTGGGGACCACTGACGTACTGGATACAATCAGTATATATTGATATATATCTTCTCCAGTAGGTTGCTTCTTAAACTACAAGACTGCATGATCCATTAATTACAGTCTTTTGTTAAACACACGTAAAACAATGTATTAAGCACATCTTAAATCTTTTCAACTAAAATCAATAGAACTTTTTAAATGCCTGTTTTGGGCTTGGTTTCATATGCTGTCATTGCTAACCAAACGTATAACATAAAATGACCATAAATGAATATTAACAATGTGTCCGAATCCTGCTGAAACAACTGGGTTAAGTCCCATTGTTTTCAATGTATTCTCAGAAAATAACCTGTAGTGAAATATTTTTCAACTATAATATTTCACACTGATCATGTAAAATGTTTGATAAACAAAAACTTCCATTTTCTTTTAAATATGTGTAATCATGTATAACAATTGTTCATGGCATCATGGACAAGTGAGCTTTTATTTGTTTGATTTGTTGTTTTTGTGAAACATCTGGTTATAAGTAGTTAAATATTCTAATTGGAATCTACACAGTTGTGATAGCAATGTATTTCTAATAAGTAAGTGTTTTTGTTGGGAAAATATTTATTTATTACAAGTCCCTGTACATTACACATTATAGGTCACATTCACTAGCTTTTGATGTTTAGCTATAACCAGGAAAGATGGAAGAATAAAATGCCTTATAACGATCTCTTCCATCATTCAGCAGGGAGGCTAAATAATTTAAATAAATTGTCCGTCACAAATTATTCATTGAGATTTGCTATTCTTAAACTATTCTTTGACTGCACATTCAAGCTGCAACCTCAATCCATGCTGGACAAGACAAAGTTTGGACCCTTGAACCTGGATACGTCTAAGATACTTTTGTATTTGAACTAATGAAGAAAACAAACGAGGAACAACAAAGGAATTTAGCAGACCTACGAGCACAGCATAGTATTTGACGTGGCACTGGGCAGGGCACTGAATTTACATCATAATTTCAAGAACTGTCTTTCTGGGCGTTTCCTCAGCTGCTGAAAAAAATGGCGAGTCTCTGTTCATATCTCCCATTCTTAGGGACTGACAGATGGGATCAGGGTAGTTAGTTGCTGGATGATTTTATTGATTGATTGATTGATTGATTAGATTTGATTTGATTTATACCCTGCCTATCTGGACCGATGGACCACTCTAGGCGGCTTCCAATATAAAATTAAACAACAAAACACAACAAATACATGACAAATACAAAACAACTAGAGTAAACTAAAAAATAGGAAAAATAAGGAAAAAAAAATCAAGAATTGTCTGGAGGGAAGGCCTGAATGAATAACCATGTTTTTAATTGGGTTTTGAAGATGCCCAGCGTAGGGGCCGCGCGAATTCCCAGAGGGAGATTGTTCCAAAGGCGAGGAGCCACCGCCGAGAAGGCCCGGTTTCGTGATAAGATAGTTGTGACTGAAGAAAAGTTATACACTACTAGTATAAGCTTCAGGAGCTAACAGAGCATTTGGCTGTTGCTTCCAATGTAATCACATCTTCCTGAGGTACACTTGAGAAACCAGGGTCCACATGATTTGTGGTTAGATACAGCACTTTGGTGGGTCCTGCAGGTTCATTTATCAGCCAAACAGGTGTTCAGCGCTATGAAGCCCTGCCTCCTCTGTTGGGCATCCACTCAGAGGCCTCACCCAGAGGAGGTGGGGAAGGATCTGCTTCCTAGTGGGTGACTGCTGGAGGAGGCAGGGCTTTGAAGCACCAAACGCCTGTTTGGCTTATAATTGAACCTGCACGAACTGCCAAACTGGCAGTTTGTGCCCATCTCTATTTGTGATGCATTAATGTCAGTGTTAGAGGTGCCTTGCAGCTCAGCTACTAATGAAATATGATTTGAATGAACTGCAGGAATCATCTTCAGAATCAGGTTCAAATGCTACTCTTGTTCTTAGGCTCTGGGTCCTAACTCAAAATGCAGCTACCATGGGCATACCAGAGAACTTCATGAATTGATATGTACTTCACGAGTCCCAGCTTTGTAATAACTATTGCTGGAACTTTGGTGGCATTGGCTTTCAAGGTCAATCTTGCCCAAGGCACAGAAGATGTTCAAGTCAGAAAAATGCTAATAAGATAGACCAAGGTCTCCCTTTCATTGACACTCAATGAGTGCTAGTGTTAGGATCTGGAAGCATGAAATGAATTGTTTGTGTCTTTTTTTAGCTAGTTTTTTTAGCTTTAGCTAAGTTTAATTAGCTTAACAAAGAAAAAACTAGTTTTGCTCAGAACTCAGAAATGACCAGCTATATTTTGTTAACATGGAATATATAAATTTACTTTTTAGATAAAATGAGTAATACTTCCTTTCAAAAATTACTTTTAACGGGCCTTTAAGGTGCTTTTAGGTGCATTTTGAGAGAATTTTTGCAAAAGGAAGTATTTGGTTTTACCCTTTTAAAAAATAAATATGTCTATGCTCAATATCAGAATTGGCTACTATAGAGAAGCAGAGGGTATTGTATTTTTCTGGCCTTTTGGTAATGACAACACAAAGTGCTAAACATACACAATGCAACAAAATGCTCATACAGTCAGGGCAATGATAATGGCAATTTGGCTGCCAAAAATAGGCAAAACAAGTTCCTTCTAAAATCTAACACTCTAAAGTCTACTTTTGTAATGAGTTGTGGGGTTTTTTTGGTACTGTATTCTCGAAGGCTTTCACGGCCAGGATACAATGGTTGTTGTAGGTTATTTGGACTGTTTGACTGCATTCCCCCCCCCTCTTTTTTGTCTATTTATTTATTTGCAAACTGCAGAAAATGTTTTCATGCTGCAGCTGAAGAATCTTGAAGACCTAGATATATACACACGCACATATATACTCTCTCTATATATGAGGGATTTAAAATTATTATTCACATCCACTTGTGATGATAATCAACATTGTACAACCTGGGGTCATTGAACCCTAACCAGCAGAATGGAATGGAACTGTCAAGGTCTCCTTTGATCTGACTTCATGGTCAGATGAATGGCTCAGTTGACCTAGTAGTATAGCTGACTTTTAGTCCTAGGCAAGGGTGGAGTAGACAACCTGAAGCTTCAGAGTGAGATTGTGCCTGTATGTATCCATAGATCGTGTAGATCCATTTGTTAGTTCATAATGTTCTGATCCTTTATTCAATGTACAGGACTGTCAAAGAGCACCTATTTGTACATGCAATTTCTAAACCAGCTAAGGCTATGAATATCCATGGCCTCTAACGGTGAATATGTCACAGTTTGGACAAAATGAAGACAAAATTGTGCCATGTTCAAACATGATTCTAAAAGTCAAGCCCATTTATGCTGCTAGAATTAAGTGTTATGTTATGCAAGTTATTAAATTTAGTTTTAACTATGCACCCAGTGCCTAGACCACAGTATCTATTTTAAATAATGATGAAGATACTGGATGAATTCTTTCAGTTAAGTCACAATTCCAGACTCTGTTTGGTAATATAGAAAACCATATCTACTTGGTCACCGTACTTTTTACAAACCTAAATAGGAGCCTCCTTAATTTGCTGTCACTATTCCAGCTTGCTCTTTTTGAGATAA